TTCCTATTATTGCTTATACTCTCTCTTCAACAAAATTAGAGATAAGGGCAAAATAGTTTCTGCCTGGTAGCGATGGGGTAGGGGGTGAGGGGGAGTAAGGGAGGGGATGGAGAGAAGGTGGGGAAATGACCCAAACATTGTATGCACATATGAATAAAAGAAATAAAATTTTTTTTAAAAAAAAGAGTTCTTTAGTTCCTCTGTTCTGTTTACTGTAGTAAAAACAGCATGACATCAGACTCTGACCCTAAAGGTTCTCACGCCCAGGAGGAACTAACTGTATATAATGAGCAGGAGGAGAGGGAGAATCAGTATTTGCCCAATGGAAAATGAAAAATCAGTTGAGGGGAAGAAAATGTTATCTCTAAGCCTTTGAAGGCAGTAGCTTAGATGTATCCATCTCAGTGTGGTAAGAAGGAAAGAGAGATAGAAGCAAGTCTTTTTACACTTAAACTCCTAGTTATGAAGACCTCAGTAGTTCAGAAAGCATTTCCTTCTCTTTTTTAACTGTGGTGAAATTCACATAACATGAAATCAACCATTTTGAAGTGAACAATTCACTAGCATTTAATACATTTACAGTGTTATACAACCACCACCTCCAGTGAGTGCCAAAACATCAAGAGGTATTTCTTATGCTAGAGTTGTGGATATACAAACTGCCGTTAAAAGAATGACATTTTTTCTTAGATCTTTCAGCTCTTTGGTCTTAACTCTCCAGATTATATTTGAGCAGTCACATACATTCTTGCTTCCCAGCTAACTAATACAACCTATCTTCAGTGTGGAAGCATGGGTCAATTTAAATATTTTCCACATTTGGTAAGGTAGGTAGGAGAAGAGATTATGGATTTCTATGAACAGATAAAACAACATAAATTTTATGTTCATATATGTAGGAACAGAGTGTTTAAACAATTCAATAAAACATTGAAAATTATTTCAGTCATATGCATTTCTTCTGTCCAATGTCCTAGGCTAAACACTCTGTTGGTGAAGCTAACTGAATGTAGTCTCTTAACTCCCTGCTAGATTTTCTCCTACAAACTGGCAGTGTTGCCTTAAAACTAAACAAAAATCAAGCTTTTTGAGCTTTGGGATCAGAAGAGTGTGGAAATTGTGTTTTTCCATGTATATTGTATTATCAGTGGACAAAGAAAGTTATACAGCTGCCTTCTTGCTCATGGAGACTGTAGCTACCTTAAGGTCTTTTGTAGATAATCGCCATGTCTGCAGAGCTAAGGAATAGCTCAAAGAGGGAACAAAACAGTGCACTCCATCTTGCCATCCCACGTCTTACTGCAAGCTTCTTGGATCTGGTCTGCCCTCTCTACCTCTGCTCTGACTTACTGACCACATGAACAGCTGGACTTTGCAAATGAGTTGAACTGGCAATCTCTCTAAATTGACTCTCTCCCTGGCAAATTTTATAAATAATTGTGTATTTCAAACAATTTGTGTGTTACATTAGAACTATAGTCACAAAGAACTCAAAAAAATAAAATCTTCCTGAAAAATGTGGTAGCCAATTTCTCTTTTGCTATTTCTCAGATGACAAGATCAGATGAAGGTAGAATCTTGTCTTGGACTCCTGAAAAATAACTGATTTATGATTTATGAACATTGTACCTAAAAGAAGAATCAATAGAGAAGAGGACAGAGAAGAACAATCCAATAAGTAACTTTAAACCTATACAGCACATTGCTTTTCTAAAGGTCTATAGTTCCACATTACACATAGTAAGCACTCTATATTTGTTATTTGAATTGACTAAGGATCTCTTTCCTTCTTTAGTAATCTTTACTCCAAGGAACATTGTCTTACTATATTGATCAAATATAGTATTTGATGCCAGGTGTCCAACTCAAGGAAATAATTATTTCTTAATAGCTTTCGATTCCCAGTCCTGCCTCTAATTCCCGCTAAGCATTATTCATGATAATGTGGACAATGCATATTAATTGTTCTCAAATTCTACATGGATTTGGAACTTCATCTTAAAATACAGGTTTCTGGGCTTCTCCACCTGCAATGTTCTTTTGGTCTGAGAAGGGACCTAGGCATTTTCACTTTAACAAGTGTCCAGGGAGATTCAAGGGCACATTCATGGATTCAAGGGAGATTCATGGGTTTCCAGGGAGATCCATGGAGCATGTTTTAGAAATCGATCTGTAGATTTGACCCTACCCTAGTTTCAGTGGGAAGCTTTATTTAGAGCAGAAAGAAGATGAAGAACCAACAGTAATACTTTGCTAGTACAATGATGACAGTTCTGCCCTAAGATGAGCCCTTGTTTTACTACTCACTATTTTGTCCTTTTCCTCACTTTATGCCCCAAATCCAGTTTGTCTTGCCTTGGATCATGGTAGCTGAGTCCGTAATATTTCTGGACTTCATTGGCTGCTAGATGAAGAGTTGCAACTACTAAGATCCATAATAAATATTCTGCCTATCTACCTAGTCCTCTATCCAGAACCAAATTCCACCTATGTCCCTCTTTGGATTTCTCTGCTGTCCATTGCTTAGATATCCTCTTATTCCCTGCCCATCTGGGTTTTCTGATTGACTCATGTCAGCATTAAGATCCCACTCCTCATGACAGACAACCCTGACTGAGGTGTTGACCATCCTTATCCAGAATTAGCTAAAGGTACAAGATAATCACCAGGTTAGTTACCCTAAAAAGAGACCATTTATCTCTATATCTGTGACAAATGAGAAAATGCATCTGATCGTTTAGCACAAGGGGTTTTAGAAGAGAGACCATTAGAATTTGACAATTTGAAACACATCATTTTTGTTACATTCAACTTCATTATCAAGAACAGCACCAAGCCAATGCAGATTAAAATAAATGCATTCTTAATTTCAGGCTAGCATAGTAAGTTGGGATGGGAATAATCTTATCACAAAAGAACCCTCTATAAAAACCCCTGTATTCCATGGATACCAATAAAGTGAATGCCTTCTACTCATGACCCTTCCAAAGGGACTTTTGTTGCAAATGAGAACAGACTGGTAGACCAAACTTTAATGAACTCACTTTGTCCACCTGGTCCATTCATTTATTCAACAAACATGTTTTTAATACTTTCTATGCACCAGGAATAAATAGCTCTTACCTCTGCCCTCCCTGGATTCACCATTTGCCATAGAATTTAGGTCATGAACTTATTTTAGGTAGAGGTCTACCTAGGAATTTTCTTACTCTCATTTTCATGGGTGAGATGGAAAGAACACTTGAACATTGGGGTGACAGACAGTAGAGGGAGTAAGAAGAGCTCGTAGGGAAGCCAAAATCTCAGTTCACGTTCAAGTGGATTCACAAAGCTCAATGTTCAAGCTAATGCTGCAAGTCAGCAGGAGGGAAGAATGAAGATGCTTACAGATCAAACAGAAAGCTTCTCGTAAATGCTATAGAGCAGTCAGAATTGCTTTGGATGCTACAGATTTCTGTAAGAGTTTCTTTGTGTTTCCTCCTTGGTTCCATCAGGTAAAATGTTGAAGATTAATTAGATATTCCAGGTGCTATCTCAACACACAAAACTGAGCCCAAAGTTCAGTCACCTGGATGGCTTGCCAAAGCACAGACTATGCAGCTCTGATAGAGTTGCCTTTCTAGTAGGTCCGAGATGCAACCTGAGGATTTGCAGATCTAACAAGGTCTCAGGTGCTGTTGATGCTGCCGTGCCCCTGACTGCATTGAGAACCACTGCTTAGGCAATCATGTAGAGCAACCTTGAAAGTGTTGCGCCACAAAGAAGTGGCGTCTCATCAGGAAGTTTAAATTTTTAAATACCCGCTGATTTTTTTCAGTATAAAATAAAGCATATATATTGCCAAAAAAAAGGGCTTATAAAAAAAAGCAACAAATTCATAAAGCAACCTAAGTAAATTTCAAAACATCCACTCAAAGGTTGCTGTTTATTCTTATAAAATCTCGTATGTGTATATGTGTTTGTGAATATTTCTCTTTTCTCTCTCTTGTATATGTAATATTCTGTCTCTTTATATATAAAACTCTGGAATCATCTTATACAGACTGTTTTGTAAGTTATTGCTTTTCAATAATACTTTATAAATATCTTTGCAAATCAATATAGCTCTGTGACATAATTTGGTACATCTTTTGGATGGGTGTATTATTTATTTAAATGTTTTCCTTTCCTGTACATTGGGGATGTTAATAGGTGTTTTCTTTCTGTTCAAACAAAAGGTTCAGGCATAAATATTCTGCTAGGTCTTCGTGTACACTCTTAATTATTTTCTAAAGACAAATTCCCAGAAGAAAAAGTGCAGAATCAAAAGTTATATAATTATAAAGCTTTTAAGACATATTGCCAAAACTGAAGAGAACTATATTTTATATATCCATCAGCACTATGTAATTATTATTTCCTCACATCTTGACATACAACTGAGCACATCTTTCTGTTTTTGTTTTGTAGGGGTTTGGGTGGGGGGTTGCCAAGTTAATAGGGAAAAAAGCACTACCTTGCTTATATTTTGTATGTTTTATTCCAGTTGTCAATATGGTAGTAGTACCATCTCATGGAGTGATGTCATACTTCTGTCCTTTGTGCTTGTGTGAATTGGGGACTTAGATTAACTCTTAACAGAGAGTTCTTTTGTTAGAGGCTCTATGGGTTTGACATTTTGTAAGGCCCAGCATGTAATTTTTCTTTGTCACAAACTTCACAGTAGGACAGCTTTTGTTTTGTTCTGTAAACTTTGAAAAAGTAAGTTTGCAACAAAATTCTGCATCTTACATCATCTGAGAGAATGTACAACCTAAACTCTCAGAATACTGAAGGACTCTCTGTAATTGTAATTGACCTAATTGTACTTAGGAGGTCAGAGACCCACTGTGATTACAAGAGAAAACTGACCCACAATGTGTCACTGTATATGTATTAGTAATTGAGTGACCATATCCTGTGGACGCTAAGATGAAATTTCTTAGTGACACACTAAACTGAACCTTCTTGTTGATACACAGGGACTATTAGGTGAAAAATATGGGAACATCCGAATCCCTGGAGAGGTTGAAGCCTCAGAGTTTGAAATGATTTTGGATGCTGCCATCGAAGCGAAGTTGGAGACCAAGTTACTGGAAGAATGGTACTGTCGAGATGAAAACTCTGTGCCGGCTGCCTATTACCTCAGACCCAAATCAGAAATGCTGAGGAGTAATCAAAACACAGTAAGTCACCTTATCCCCTTTTCTCTGAACTGTCCTGTCACTCAGGGCTGGTTTTCTCCACTGAAAGGCCACAATAGACAGAAAACTGTGCCCTAGGCCCCAGACTTGCTTTTAGCAACTAAATCCACGCTAATCATCAGTGAAATGCAAATCAAAACTAACACCTCACATATGTTGGGATTATCTAAAAGTCAAAAGTAAGTGTTGATGAGGAGGTGGAAAAAAGGAAACCCTAGTACCCTGTTGGTGGGACTGCAAGTTGCTCTGGGCCACTAAGATGCAAAACAGAACTACCTTATGGTGCAGCCATCCTACTCCTGGATATATATTATATCTCTGAAGGAAATGAGATCACTGTCTTGACACCAAGGAGAATTGCAGCCATACTCACAATGACCAAGGTATATAAACAACCTAAGTGTCCACCAACAAATGAATGAATAAAGAAAATGATACATGCACTCATGTGCATGCACACACACACACACACACACACACACACACTGGAATATTATTTGGTCTTTAAAAAGAAGGAAATCCTACCATTTGCAGAGAACATTTTAAGTGAAATAAGCCAGACATGGGAAGACCAACCCTGTATGATGTCAGATACACGTAGAATCTGACGGGTTTGATTCAGAATTACAGAGTAGAAGGGTGTTTATGGGGACTGGGGTGTGGTGTGGGAAGTGAGGGAATGCTGATCAAAGCGCACAGACTTCCGGTTCCAAGACGGCTGAGTTCTGAAGGCCTAATGCAGAGCATAGAGTAGTTAGTAATACTGCACCATATACTTGAAATATAACACTCAAAGTGTTTTTACCACAAAAAGTGCTACCCATGCAGTATGACGGGGATGTTATTAGCTTAATTATGATAATCATTCACAATGTATACATATATAAAAACATCATGATATGCACCCTAAAATTATTTTTTTCTTTTAAAAAAAGAGCTAAATCCAAAGTTAAGAAACTCAATTTTTTTGGTTTGCATTGACTTGTAGTATCTCTGACTTTCCTTCTGGAGTCATTTTCCTTCTTTGTGAAGTATATTTTTTAGAAATTTTACTAGTGAAAATCTATTAGTGATAAACTTTCTCATTATTTATCTGAAAATATTCTTATTTGGTCCATTTTTCTAAACTGTGTCGATTTATTCTAATTAATATGTCATACTTACATCTGTGAATTCATATATCCTAGCAGTTCCCGAAATTTTTCAGCTGTTGTCTCATCAAAAATGACTTCCCTCTGTTCCTCTCATTTCCTTCTACTCTCTTATTAGATGTTCTGTAGACAGCCCTGTCCTCCATGTCTCCTCCTTCCCTTTCATGTTATCAAGTTCCTCATCTCTGTCTGTGCTTTCCAGAGGATTACTGCAGATCTTTATTCCAGTTCACTGATTTTTTTTCTTCAGCTGTGTCTACACATTCATGTCTACACATACATTGAGTTTCCAAGTTCAATAGTTATATTTTTAATTTTGTGAAATTTTTCTGTGTTTGGTGGTTGGTATGTTTTGGTGGGTGGGGTATGTCCTTTTTAAAATTTGCCTGGCCTTTTTGCAATCTCCTTTTTCTATTTTTTAATTTTATATTCCTCCTTTCACATTACAAGCAGTCACTGTACATGCCTATGTAGAATTGAGTGAGATTGATCCATGCCTGAGTCTGATGGAAACATAATGTTTGTCTCCTCTCCAACTCGATTCCCAAGTGTATCTACTCTTTGTCCCTTAAAACTAAATGAAGAAGAGGGGAAGAGTGAGCTTATTCATTGCATAGAATGTTTACAGGGACTGAAAAGAAGACAGACATTCAACCCTTTCGAAGGTCGGAATCCCTGATAAAGTCAGCACTCAGGCAGCTTCAAAAGTAGGGACGCCACGAGTTAGCCACAGGTCTCCATTTTAAGATGTTTTACATTTGTCTTTCTAACATAAAGTACTTTCTCCATGCAATATGAAATCATGTCAGAATCCTTGACTTTTCTTCTTCTTCTTCACATGCTTTATCCTCAGTAATTATCTGTAATGGCATTGCTTCTCTGGATAAGCATACTAGTGTACAACCAAATCATTCCCTGGTTAAATGTACCAGCAGTAAATGCAGATAGCCGAGAATGTGAGACCTTAAGAAACTGATTTCCACAACGTTTTGATAGCTCTTGCTCAGATCTTACTATTCAATTGGCTTTTTTTGCTGCATTTTCATTCATTTCTATGATCCTTTAGGGAAATGTGAACTATTCTCCAAACCCTGCCTGCTGTTTATGCATAAATTATTGTTGAATAAATGAATGCTTGAATGAGACCACCATCAATGCTATAGAAAGGCTTCCTTCCTGGAAGGCAACCCTCCCATTCTGTTCCCAGCAGCTCATCAAAGCCAATGAAGCAGAAACACCTAAAGACAAATAGTAACATATGAGCATACTGTTCCCCTTTAACTGTCTCTCCCCTTGGAGGCCATTAAAAAGATTGTTTTCTTATGATGTTTGTATTAAAACTAAGAGGAGAAAACATAGTTGAAAAAACAACCTGTGTTTCTCCATTTTCTGTTGCTATCACAAAATACCTGAGCCTGGATACTATTTAAAGAGGTCCATTTAGCTCACATTTTTGGAGGCTGAAAGCACAAGATCAGGCAGCCCCAGCTGTTCAGCCTCTGAACTGGGCCCTCTTCACTCCAGCATAATGATGGGAGCTCATGCAGAAGAGATCACATGATAAAACTGGAAGCCAGAGAGATTTGGGGCCCAAGCTTGTCCTTCTCATAGAAATTCACTCTCTTGAGAGCTAACCAGGCTGTATGAGAACTACATTAATCCTGTCAGAGATGGCACCTTAGCGATATGGTATCCTTCCACTAGATTCTACCTCTTAAAGGTTCCACCACCTCTCAACATTACTGCATTCAAAACACAGTCAAACCGTGTATAAATTACAGCAAAGCCCAGCAAACCAACACTGTATGGGTCACACCATTATGTAACTTGGGCAAGTTCACACATAACATGGAGGAATCTTCTAACTTGAGGGAAATTGGAGAGACACTGTAAAGTACAGTCATAGTATCTGTACATATTGGCTTTCAAGTGAGAAGAATTTTTTTTGGTGGTACTGAGGTTTGAACTCAAGGCCTCATGCTTCCTAGGCATGTGCTCTACCACTTGAACCATACCCTCAGCCCTTCGTTCTTTAGTTAGTTATACTTCAGCAGGGGCTTTTGTTTTTGCCCAAGGCCAGCTTCAGGCCACAATCTTTCTACCTACTCGTCCCTTGTAGCTGGGATGACAGCTGTGGCACCACCACAACCAGTTTATTGATTGAGATGGAGATGGGTAACTTCTTGCCTGGATTGACCTCGAATTGCAGTCCTCCTGATCTCCACTTCCCAAGTAGCTGGAATTGCAGGTGTGAGCCGCTGCAGCCAGCTAAGAGGAATTCTGTTGCTCTTAAATACTGGTGATTTTAAGGCTAAGTTCTCACTTGTACCTTTCACAGATGCAGCCTACTGCCAGTGCTGAAAATGAGAAGCCATGGCAAGAAATATCAGATGAGATCAAGAAAATATTTAAGGCTGCTGTAAAACTACTACACGAAAAGGGTAAAATGAAACACAGCCAAGCTAAGAGATACCTGTTCTCAGGTAATTTGCATGCATCCTCAGTCAACCAAGGAATAGACAAAATAATAAATGTGTTCATTGCTTCCCTTTCATGGTTTTATGAATTTAATTTCACTCATGACCTGGCAGATTTAATTTTTCTAAATGTCACGTCCTGGGGAGGTAAATGTTCTTTTGTTTTAACTCATGGAAAAGCCTTTCTGGAGGGCTGCTCCAGAAAATGTCATTTTCAAAGAAGTCAGAGGTAGCTAAATGTAACAGCCCAAATTACACCGTGGTTTCTCAGTTGTTCTGCTCACTCATTCGCCCAGTCACCCAGTGAACGTGTGTGGACCAATTGGGCGACTTCACACTTAGCATGTGGAGATAAGAATGAGTAAGACGGTGAGGTCTCTGTTCTCCTGCAGCTTATTTTTCAGCAAGGGAAAAATAACTGATAGTGAAGTAATAAATGGACAAGATCATTTCATAAATGATAGTATGGATAAAATAAAGCATGCTTATAGATGAGTGACTGATGAAGGATGCTGGGGTCCAGATGTGGATGGAATGGCTAAGGAAATGATTTTTGAGCTGAAGGAATCAGAGCTGACAGTGCCGTGTCTCAGAGAACCCCAGGCAGAGGGACCAACAGGTTCAAGATTCCCAAGACGAGAATGTGCTTACAGCTTCCAGGAGTGGAAGGAAAGTCAAGGTAGCCAGGTTCAGGGAGTGAGAGATGAGTTCTGAAGGTGAGCTCCACACACCATCAAATGAACCTTATGTCCTATTCTGTGTAAGATGGAAAGCCACGAGAGGGTGTGGAGCAAGAGAGTGGTTGGATCTGATTTAACATTAAAATAAAAATCCACCCAGCTACTGAGCAGAGACTTGCTTATCGGCCTGTCTCAGCCATGGAGAGGAAGTTTCATTATTTAAAGTTGTGCAAGAAACCACAAATGTGAGAGAATGTCATAATTTCTAGAGAACAAACACTGTTGGGTAAAAGCTTTCAGATATGAAGGAGAGCATTTATTTTGAAAGTTGATAGTAAGGAATTTTTGAGGAAACAGCAATAATAATTGTGTTTTTGTATTAGTTTTTTTGAGTAGTATGGCAAAGCATTTGCAAAAACCATAAAAGACACTTGATCTGTATACACTGGATATATGTATTTCAAATAAACTTTAAAGTTGTAAATAATTTTGACAAATTCCAGAAGAAAACCAGCTAAGATGAGGTCTCATTTTCAGGCTTCCTGAAAATACTTAGTTGTCAGGAGTAAGGACTGTCTTTAGAATATACAGGTTAATGTTTACCCTGGTTCCTTTGGGACTTCTTGATCCTTTTTTGAGGCTTTGGTTCTTCACCTTTATTAAGGACCAAAACAACCTGTTCCTGAAAATGTGATGTATTATTTAAAAAATGCCCAGAGCAAAGCTTTCCTCTTCTTTATGGACAAAACACCAGGTTGGGGAAGGTGTCTTCTTATTTACAGTCATACAGCTCAAGTATTCAAGTATTTCATTGGCAAACATTTTCTCCATTCTAAAGAACTCTCTGTGACCAGGTGTGGTGGTACACACCTATAACCACAGCACTCAGGAGGCTGAAGCATGAGGATGCTCCTTTTACATTTCAAACTCATTTTGACATCATGTCAAATTTTGATCATTATCAAAATAGCTAGAGAAGTGCCATCTCCTTCAAATAGACAGGGTACATTCCTTTAATGTTTTCAGAAATCTCGAAAATAAGAATACTGGATAGAACCTATAAAGGTATATTATTTACACTTAAATATAAGTTTTCATACTTCTGATTTCAGCTTTTTAGACAGCAGGAAAGGAAGACAAAGTTGACCTAAAAGTGGTGCCCTTCTGTGAACAGGAAAACAGAGTGAGCTTGGGAAATAAAAAGAGTAATGTCTCACAGATGACAGTCAGTGTTCCTAATGTTATCCTCATCAGACCCTGTGACATATTAAACTTTAGTGTGTTAAGGCAAGTGCAAAGACAGGAAACAAAGTGTCCTAGGAAAGAGAAAGTTTGTAACACTTATATACAAACCTCAGAATTATATTGGCCAGCTTTCTGCTACTAACAAATGCCAGAGAGGATCAACTTAATGAAAGGAAAGGTTTATGTTGGCTCACAGTGTTGGAGCTTTCCATCCATGACCAGCTGGCCTTGGTTCTGTTGTTCTTCAGCCTGTGGTAGGTAGTGTGACATAGCGGTAACTTGAGGCAAAACCATTCACTCATGGCTAGTAATGAAATTGAATGAGGAAGACGCCAGGATGGCACAGTCCCCTTCAAGGGCATGCTCAGAGACCTCCAAATCATGAAGATACACCTTGCTTAAAAAAAAAAAAAGCTACTATAGAGTTTATTTTGTGTCATATCATTCATTTATTCAAGTTCATTTATACCATGTCAAGCACACTATGTACAGCCTCTTTTTCTCCTGAGCCAAGCTTAGATGGTTTGTTTATCTGTGCCTCTTTCTATGTTCCAACACTCCTGATTGACACACTTTTGGCCTGGATGTGAAAGCAATATCAGTTTGGTTATAATGAAGTTGTTTTCTGAGAGACAAAGTGGCAGCTCAATCCCTGAGTGCCAAGCATTATAAACAGATACCACAGCTGGACCACCCACAACCTGTCTCTTCCTGGTCATCTCAGGATGCAGTGGCCTGCTGCCCAGTGTGCTCACCAGCATGCTTACACAGATGGCTGGGAGAGAAATGCGAATGAGCCGAACGCTGCTTTCACAGTAGTGAGTGATGTCCGTATTTCTTGCATCTTCCTTTGTCCACCTTACAACAAGTTCTTACTCTCCTGTAAAACCAAGAGTAGATGTATTTTGTATAAGTTCCTCTAAGTGACTTCTTTAACCAACTTACCTAATTAAAACCATTTGTAAAATGTACTGGTGCTCATGACACAGCTTACTGAACACTGGAAACTAGAAACATACCATTTTCACTTGAATCAAAATTTTTGATCAATTTTTATCATTACAGAAAAAAATTATCACAATAGTTCCCCTAAAAGTCATCATTTTTTAATCCCATTTTCCTTAGTTACTGTATAGAATAAATGTATATATGTTCTATATTTTGCTCGATGTTGGGATTGTGGCCACACATTAAAGTTTTCTTAATTTCTGGTCAGACCAGCCTTGTGTTTTCAGTGACCTCACCCCGCCATGCTTCTATCAGATCCCAGCCAGGTAGAGTAGTTCCTCTGTAGGAAAGCCTTCCCTGGCCTCCCCAGGCAGGTTAGAGCCCTGACTGTTTGCCAGCATTGCAACATGTTCTTCCCTGTCACAGGCCTAAAAATAATCATACTGCATTCATTTGTGGGATCTTCCTTCCCCCCGCTGGACTATAAACTCCATATCTTAGTCCATTTGGATAGCTGTAACAGAATACTACAATCTGAGTGGCTTACAAACAACAGAAATGTGTTTCTTACAAGGTCAAGGCACTTGCATATTTGGTGTCTGGTGAGAAATTATGTCATCTCACTGCATTGTCACTGAGGCCGCTTTTAAAAGGGCACTAATCCCATTATGAAGGATCCACCCTCATGATGTGACCGCCTTCCACTTCTACAAGCTACCTTCCACTAGAATCTAGAATTTGGAAGATCACATGTGTTCAGTCCCTGGCAATCCATACTGGTTTTTTCTCTCCCTATTATCTGCTTTCTCTCATCATTGTATCCTAAGCAATGAGCAGGCATGTCTAGCACATAATGAGTGTTCAGTCAACACCAGTTGGAAGAAAGAAAAGGGTGAGGAAGAAAAGAAAGAAGAAAGGGGAGGAAGGAAAGGAGACAGACAGTTGTAAAAGATGCTTGCCTTAATGTTCATTTCCATAGGTTTAATTATTGTTTTTTTCCTGATTCAATGATGTTTTTAATGCCAGTGATCCAGTTTTAAATGTCCTATGAGGCTTCAAATGATTTATAATATATATTTACTCGTGTGTAAGCACATGGATTGTAAGCCATTCACACCTTAATTTTGAAGAAATAAAGTTCCACACTAAGTCATTTTTCTATGCCTTTTCTGATGGATGTAATGGAATTTAACAGTGACATGGATAATTCTAAACTGAACAGTGTTTAGAAAATGATTATATTTTGTCTTAAAATATGCTTTTATGTTTCTCTTTGAACCTTCCTGTCTGGGGTATAAAACTCCTCAAACAAAATGGTGAAGCCGTATTTTAAAAGAACAGACTAACAAGAAAAAAGTAAACTGTCTATGACATTCAGCCTCTCTGTCTTTCCCAGGCCTGTTTGGTCCCTGCTGTTTCTCTACTGTTAGAACAGCTGAAGTCTGAGAGGGAAACTAAGCAGCAACTTGCAATCATCAACTATAAGCTTCTTATGTTTCCTTTCTCATGGTGATCTTCAACTTCTCCTTCCCATGGGGGAAAAAATTAAATAATTTTATTAAAAATTCATTCTTCTGGGTTCCAAGTTGCTTAAGTCAGGAAATGAAGGACTGAAGAAATTATTCTCTAGATGACTCCATGACAAACTATAAACAAAATAACCCACTGCCAGTGACTAAGCTGCCCATTGCGCCTTCGTTGTAGGCATTGAACTCCTTGTCTTATTTTCTTGCAGCTATCGAGGATGAGTTTGACTTTGCTCTAGGCAAGCAAACTCCAGCGTTCCTGAAGAAGTGTGTTTGCTACATTAGGAAAATCGCTAACATTGAGCGTTTTGTGAAAATCCCAGAGATGGGAAAATACATGGACATAACTGGAGCAGAACCAAGGGTTACTCGCGACCCAGAAGCTCAAGAGAAGCTGATAAAACTCAGGGATGAATTTATTCCTACTATAGTTGCATCTTCTAATCTGAGAGTATACACATCTGTCACTCATTGTGACATGAAACTGGGTTATTCCCAAGAAATAGAAAATCATTACATAGAAGGACTTGGTAAGCAGTTTTATGAGGACATGATTGATATCATTCAGGCAACAGTACAACAGAATTTTGACACTGAAACTGATACATTGTATGATGAAATCCTTCAGCATTCATCGTTATGTAAAACATATGCCTCCTTCTACGAGTACAAATGTGACTCTCTAAACATCTTGCATAAATACATTCTTCCAAGCAAACCTGGGCACACCAACCCTCTTATTGTATATGGTGGACCATGCACTGGAAAGACCCTGCTGCTAGCTGAAGTAGCAAAGAAGGTAAAAAGCCTATTCTCTTCCATTTATATTTGTAAAAACAAATTTCCCCTGGGGAAAAATTGATCAAATTTATTTTCATTTTCTGTGTTTACTTCTGAATTATAATTAGTCTTCTGGGAATGGATACTTCAGTTTTATTTTTTCTTGGCATAACAGCTATATTCAGAAAACACAACTTATGGAGTACACCTATAAAGCCATTTTATTTTTTCTGTCACTGTTCAAAGTCATGGTCTACCCCATATGGATGAAAACTTGGACAAATCCCAAAAACTCTTCTCATCCCTTCTCAAAGACTAGACTGCTACTTACTTCTGATGACTAAATCAGTCTCCATTCTGTATTTAGTATGGCCAGTGGAAGGTAATAATTAAGACTTCAGTCTACATTTCTCCCCCTCCCCCAAGCTGAGGCACCTACATCTTCTTTATCTGCATGGCACTTCTTTCACTCCTTTCCTAACCCCAACCACATTTATGATCCCTACAGTGTTGTAGTTTAGAAGATACAGGAGAGGTCAAGTGACCAGAAGGTTGTTACGTGACCGGTACTGTTGTGAACTTGTGAACTGGGCTCTATACTCTGTTAGTAGCAAGTGTTTAAACTGACTGCCATCTCTTCTGAAGCCTTCTCATGGTATCCTGAAGGCTCTTCCCCCTCCTGCAGGGATCTCCCACCCTGTCCCCACTGAGCACCTCTTACCTGCAATTCCATAGACACAGGGCAATGCATGTTTTTTTAGTTCATTGCTTCTTTTACTCCTACACATCCAGCAACACACTTCCAATGTCTTTTTGCTACAGTCCTCTCCACAGCCTAGCATGCTCCTTAGTCAAGACCTGAAAAACAATCAGAGCAAACAAACAGAAACCCTGTTGTCTCCCTCTTGTGGGTGGCCCACATTGGATACACAGTAGATTTTTTGCCTTGAGAAACTATAGATAGATACAGTTGGCTGTTGACCATATAACTTGGCTGTGTTACAGGCCAAGCCTGGTACAGCAGCTCTGCCTCACACCTCCATTGGAGCAGTTTGCAAGCCTGTCACTAGCCCTTCATGTTTCTCAGATGTCATCAGGTCCCAGATGACTGTACCCCAGGCTTTTGAGGGCTCTATAAGGGTCCATTGAAGCCCCTTCCTCTGAGCTAGAAGTGAAGAATGAGCATCACTCTGACCCCTTTGCAGATGAAGAAGGTAAAGATAAGACCCATGGTGCTCTCCTCTCCAAGATTTTTCTTGGTCCCTCTATTTTCTTTTTTTCAGGCTGAATAGTACACTAACCTGGCTTCTTTCTAGTGCTGCATGGAATACAGTATCTATTGTCTCACCATGTCAGCCTACACTGCACTAAACTAGCTCTGTTTATAATCTCCTGTTAAACTTGGTATCAGAGTATAATGTGATGTTCATTCAGCATCTCCACATTTTTCTTCCTGTGGTTACTATCTTAAGATCATTGCTTTGTTCAACTTCATGAATATTCTCCTAATCTGTCACATTCTACACAATCTAAAATTGTTTATCCTGAGGACAAAAGTAGGGTCATCTGCATTGCAGCTTATGCAGGGCTAAGGTTCCAATGACTCACAGAGGAAAATAAGGTATATCACACTTACCTTGAAAAGTCATTAGAAGAACCAATTTATCATGTTTTTGTGTTAGAAGATATAGTCATGTCTTTAATTGAGTACCAGATGAAGTAGAAGTTTACATTTAGAAACCACATCACATCAATGTGGTCTTTGAACACCGGTTTGTATACGTATCTTCAAATTTTAGAATTATTCCAAGTGAGCAAGAGGGTGACACAGTGACAGGCACAAAACTGCAGCCAATGAGTAAACTCTCCTGTGTGCTATCACTCTCACTCTAGTGCTTTCTGTCTGTGGAGAAGGAAAAGAAAAGGATGATTGGCGAGAACAAATATTGCTGAATTTGACCAAGTGAAAGGTTCTTGTGATGCATTTCCACTGCTCACGGAGAGGGCAGGGATTTCAGGGTCAGGGCTCAAATGCCTGTACATATAAGCAGTGCCCAAGGGGCAGAGTACGCTCACAGTGCAAAGTTGATCAGCTTGAGCAACAACTGTCTGAGCTGCTGGTCTTCTGGATATTTTATCTACTGGCCTGTGTCTATTCACAGTCCAGGATTCTGGCTCTGCAAGAAGCCTCTCCTGTTCCTATGCCCCCTCCTGCTCTCCACTTGCTTTCCCCTGAGGAATGATCCTTTCTCCTGGGGAATAACTAGCCAACTTGCACTCTCAAGTGACCTTGAGTCCCTGCTGAGGACACGGACTGACACTTCATGTTTGTCTTCTGTGTTACCCGACATTTCCCTAGACACTTTCCATAGGCACTACATGTGCAGCAGCCTGTGACTGACAGCTGGGAGGAGCGTACATATAATCATCCTATGTGTAGAAGGATAAGATCATCTTCCTTGATAACAATCCATGTTGGGGCCAAGCAGCAAAATGCTTACTTTCCTTAAATAGCTCGTTATGATATTGACATCCATAAATCTTCAACGTTACTTATTTCCTAACCTTAACTATCTCTGGAGGAACCAAATTACATTAGCTTACTTCCTATTGTGTATTATAATACTTCCTTTCTAAGAAATATCCTTGGTAAATTCCTAGGACTGTGGAAAGTCAACTTTGACTTTCCCAACAGGAAAATACTAAATGTAATGGCCTCTTTACGCATTTTATCTCTTTAGCTTCACATATAGAAAGAAGAAAGAAAGAACGAGAGAGTAGGAAGGAAGGAAAGAAGGAAAAGGAAGAAAAGAAGAAGGATGGGAAGAAGGGAGGGAGGGAAGAAAAGAGAATGAATGGGAGGAAGGAAGGGAGGGAGGAAAGAGAGAAGGAGAATAAAAAGGGAGGAAAACAGGAAAGGAAGGAGAGAGGGAGGCAGAGAGGGAAGGAGAGAGAGCACTTAGAATGAAAGTCAGATTTGACATCTACACCAACTTTGTCTCAGAGCAAAGCATTGCTCTAAATTGGGACTCAGTTTTACCTTTTATTAAATGACATATACTATGCCATCTGCCCTTCAGAGAGATAAGATGAGGACAAATGACTGTTTCAAAGCACAATATTTAACAAACCTCTTTTAACCAGCACTGTATAGAGTTTTATGAAAAACATAATAATCGTAGTAGCCCTATAACATCATAAAAGTATCATGAATTATCAGAGTATATTTAATATAGTCTTAGTACTGAGTATTTTATTACCTTCTAATTAATTGGATATTTATTCAGCCATATATTATATACTGTCAGTGAGAATATTTAACGCAATACAATGTGCAAGTCTACTCAACTGTCATTAAACAAACACTACACACCTACTAACCACCAACAGCTGTGCCATGGGGAATTGGTGATGAAAAACTGACACACTAGATATGCAGATTTACAGATTCATGAAATACCTTGTAATTTTGAGATTGTAAAGTGAATGTCTTGTGGTCATTGAATAATGCTGGTGTCACTGTTTTACTTCCTGAGGGTCTCACCTGCAGATTTTGGTGCATGAGCTTTGAGGATGCTCTTTGGCCTTCTCAGCAGGTTTTTGTACTCGGTCCTAGGCTACTTTCTACATGGTAGGTATTACCAGAAGTCTGAGCTCTGGAGAGAGGAGAGATTCTTGGCTATATACACATGAATACATAGTATCATTCTAAACTTTGCTTTTATGTTTTAGGCATATGGCTGGCTACATGAAGACACTGGACCAGAATCTGATCCAGTCATAGTTGTGAGATTTCTGGGAACGACAGACATGAGTACTGATCTTAAGACTCTGCTTCTCAGTGTTTGTGAACAATTGGCAGTCAACTACCGATGTCTGGTCCAAAGCTACCCTAAGAAGATCCATGACCTCCGTGACTTATTTATAAACCTCTTGAATGAGTCTTCATCGCAGAGACCTCTGGTGATAATATTTGATGCCCTAGAGCAGCTCTCAGAGAATGACGACGCCAGGAAGCTCTGGTGGCTGCCAGCTCACCTTCCCCGCTTCGTACGGATCGTCCTCTCCACACTGCCCAACAAACATGGGATCCTACAGAAACTAAGGTGCCTTATTCATGAAGAAGACAACTACATTGAGCTGATCCCCCGGGACCGGAAGATGTGCAGCCAGGTCCTCAAACACCAGCTGCTGAGGGTCAAAAGGAAGGTCACATCGGGCCAGCAGATTTACGTCAACAATGCATTTTCCAAGTGCACGCTGCCGATGTTTGTGAACCTGACCTTCAGGGAGGTGAGACACTGGAGATCTCACAAAGATGTCGACGAGTCCTCCCTGCGTGTCACCGTTCATGAAAGTATAGAGCAGTTATTCTGGTCTTTGGAGAAGAAGTGTGGTCAGAAGCTGGTCTCTAGGGCTCTCGGTTACATCACGATGGCCAAAATGGGTTTGAGTGAGATGGAACTAGAGGACGTGTTAGCCCTAGACAACAGTGTCATGAACGAGCTCAGTGAGAACACCAGGCCGCCAATCCCCTGAGAGTACCCTATCTGTACATCGCGAGGCTTAAGGAGGGCCTCAGTGGATACTTAATAGAAAGACACGTGAAGAATGTCACACTCCTGGTCTGGGCCAACAGACACCTGCACCTCATAGCCCAGAAATTGTATCTGCACAACGACAGCAACCTGCGTGAAATGCATACCACCCTGGCAGACTATTTCCTTGGGTGTGGTCAGGGGCAGGAGGAAAGCTTTCTGCCTTGAAGACCCCTACCTGAATGGCTGTCTTGACTTGGAGAGCAGAAGCCTGCTTGAGGAAGAAAAGCACTTCGTGGAACAGGCTTCTTTTGACAGGCAGGCCCCTGATCAGCCCTGGGTTTTCCAGTGCAATCCACTGGAGCCCGACATCTTTTTTGTCAATCACCGGAAAATGTCTGAGCTTTTGTTCCACCTAACAAGGTGTGGAAAAACTGATGACCTGCTTTATGGCATCATCATGAACTTCAGCTGGCTCTATACCATGTCAAAATTGGCCAGTTTGACAAAGTGCTTGCAGACATTGAGCTGGCTTATAACTGCTCACAAGAAAAGGAGCTTAAGTTCCTAGCCAGCACCCTCCGCAGCATCAAAAACAAGGTCATTGCATTTCCTGGCTCCCTTTCAGCAGAGCTTCAGCAAAGGCTGCTGCCTGTTGTAAGTTCCCTGCCCAAGCTTAGACACCTTCTTCTAGAATGTGACAAAGACGGGCCCAAATATTGTTCCATTGTGCCACTGCATTCATCCATGGATGTGACATATAGCCCCGAGCGACTTCCCTTATCATCCAGTCACCTGCATGTCACAGAGATTTTGCCTACCTGTAACCCCAGTACTGTCCTCACAGCTTTAGAAAATGGTTCCATCAGCACGTGGGATGTAGAAACTCGCCAGCTACTCAGGCAAATCACCACAGCCCAGTCTGTCATCCTCAGCATGAAGCTGACCAGTGATGAAAAGTACCTTGTGGTTGCTACAACAAATAACACCTTGTTGATTTATGACAATGTCAACTCCTGTCTCCTATCTGAAGTGGAAATCAAAGGGACCAAACATGGAAGTGGTTCCACCTACATCAATGGATTTACACTGTCTGTCAACCATGCCCTTGCATGGCTCGAAGCCAGCAAAGATGTCACTGTCATTGATCTGCTCTATGGATGGCCCTTTACCAGTTCCACTGCTGGTATGAAGTGACCTGTGTCCAGTGTTCTCTGGATGGGATGTATGCTTTCTGTGGACAGTATCTGAACACCACCACCATATTTCAGTTAGGGAGTGGAGAAAAGTTATGTACAGTGACATCAGAATTCTCAGGTGGGTTTGTGAAGTTTCTTCTTATCTTAGACACGGCTCAAGAGATGGTTATGGTAGATAGTGAGGGGAGTCTTTCTGTTTGGAATACTGAGGACATTTCCAATCCCCAGCTGACTGATGACTTTGACTGCCGAAGAGAAGACAGTGAGGTGGTCAGCATTGAACTTTCAGAGGACCAGTTTGCAATTCTGATCTGTAAGGCTCTCAGCATTGAGCTCTTAGACACTCGCATGTGGAAGGTGGCTGAAAAGTTCAGAGCCAAGCACAATGAACGCTTTATATCTGCTGTGCTGTCCAAGAATGGAGACTGCATCATTGCCACCATGGAGAATACCCCAGCTGTGTTTTTTTGGAGGCGGGACACAGGACAATGCATGGCAAGCTTACAGGAAATCTCAGGTACCATAGTTAAGTTGGTGAAGTCTAGCCACCACAATATGCTGCTGTCTTTGTCAACTAGTGGCGTCCTCTCTATCTGGGACATAGATATAATCACAGCTATGTCTAATATTGATAAGACTGGAAAGCCCATCCAAAGTCTCGTGTTGCCTGGTAGGGGAGAAATCATTTACTCTCTGGATGGCTCAGATTGCGTTCACAAGTGGAACTTCAGCAGTGGGTTCATTGAAGCAGTTTTTAAGCATGAAGGAATAGTTGAACACTGCGTGTTGACATCTGCTGGGGACATAATGGTGACATCAGATGACAAAAGCAGCCAGTATGTCTGGCATACCAGCAGTGGAGACAATCTCTTCCGAATCACTGGGCAGAGAATATCCCAACTGCTGATTACACACAACGACCAGTTTGTCGTCTCCCTCTGTGAGGAAAACGCCTCCAGGGTGTGGAGACTGGCCACAGGCCACAGGGTCTGCAACATACTGACCACGCTGCAAAATGCATTTATTACCTCGGCGAACACCTTTGTGGTGGGAATGACCAAAAGCAAAGTGCTGGCAGTCAGTCTTTGGACAGGAAGTATCACCAAGAAATTTTGCTGTGAGGATGGGATCACCATTGTGAGTTTTAAATTGATCCCCGATTGTCCTGACATCATTGTGTTTATCACATCAGCCGAGACAGTGAACATCTGGAGTCTGACGGATGAAGTCATCTGTCGACGCGTGCAGCTTCCAAATAACTTCTTGAAAAACCTGGAAGATTTTGAAATTTCTCCAATGGCAAGCTAGGCATTATATCTCGGGGAGATGAAAATATCAATGTCTTGGATTTACACAGCGGTAAGTTACGGGTGGTCCATGCCTCCGGGGTCATCTGGCGGCAGAGGCTGTCTAGAGATGGTCGCTACCTGGTATACATTTGTTTCCGGAATGGGGAGGAAGAGGACGAAAATGATGCTGTGTCCAGCTTAATTGTAATGAGACTGGCTGATGGCAAAAATATTGGTGCTTGTTCCCTCTACAAACGCCAACTTTCTGGCGCTTTCTCAGAGGCACCTGAACATCATTGTGGGCTTTGACGATGGGAGTATAGGGATATATACAGTAGTGGACCGTGTAGATGCTGCACTGAAGATTAAAATTGCCACTTCAAATAGCAGACAGATTTTCAACAATGCAACACAGGCAGCCAGGCCAAAATCCAACAGTTACTGCTTTAAAGTATCTGTGGATTGCTTATGGAGAGAGTCCACCGAGGTCTTTGCAAGAGACAGTCCCATCACAGTGAGTGACTCCTCGGAGCCCAGTGAGGCAACACCTTCCAAGAAACACAACTCTTGTTACGACCGGGTGTGCTCTGCCCTAGAATCCAGGGGGCACAGCTATGCCCCTGACAACTGACAAAATGTCTGTCCTGCTCCATGGAGAAAAAGCAAAGTGTGTCTTCTGTACCGAAAATTGCAAATTACTCATTTCTTAAAAAACGGGAAAGATGCTGGAATTCCAGTGTTTTGTTAACATGCTCATGAAAGGGACAGAAATGTGAGATCAGTTTTGGGTGCCATCTTTTGTGAAAGCATATATTCAGGAATGACAGAAAAATTTCTAGAAATGATATTGGAATGGCTACTTTACCTGGAGAGAGAGGATAAAAATTTTACAATTAGCTGTGTGGTAAGAAGCAGTTTAATTCATTCTGCAGGTTCAAATGAGAGAAGGTGGAGTTATATGTAGACATTTGGACTGGAATTAGTCCTACAAAAACAAATTGAAACCATGAAGAGAAAGAGCTGTTTTGCTCCGATGATTGTATGAGAAGTAAAACACAGCTTAATCTCTCTTTACACTTTCTGATCCTGACAACTGTGTAAACCTAGTCTGCAGAGGAAAGGTGCAAAATCTTGTAACAAAATGCCGGATGTACTCCAGTTTCCCAAGAGATATGACATAAAATATGAGACAATAAAATGGACTGGGACAAGAACTAACTACCTATCATAGGGCTATCAAACATGGAGAGTCAGTCTTCATTAAAATACAGTTGCAACAATTGCATGCAAGGGTTTCTATATAATGGAATATATGATTTTTAACTATTTACTTCCTGGGTTGAGAAAGAACCTGTTTAATAACAAGCCACAATCTTTTCACATCTTTTTGAAATGTATGTTTGTGCTGAGTGTAAAGAAGAATTATAGAAAGGGCATTACACCTTTGGTCAAAACACCTGTTCATTTCTACTATTGTACTAAAAGAATCTGTACTACTCAGTCAGTGTGAGGTAGCCTAAATTATTTCCTAAATCCCAGCAGTTCATCTTAATAGAAAGCAAGCCTTCTTAACATGCCATCTCTGAAATACGGAGGACATTTGCCTTACTCTCATTCCTCCTCTTTCCTGGGTAAAACACAGACAGATGACCAAATACTCTGGGACAAACTGAATATGCCTGTCTTTGTGCTAAAATATTCCATAAATCTTAAGGGTGTCCAATAGTTCTTTATTGTCCCTGTTTGTAATCACTTTCTATACACTGTACGTATGCTTCTTTATCTGTTTCTCTTCTGGACTGAAACTCTTCTGAGATTTTTATACTCTTACCCTTTCAAAGCAGAAGCTGCGAAATGGTGTATTTTTTAAAAAACTACTTCACCTATTTGAAAGAAAATAATTACATCTCAGAAGGCAAAAGTGATTTTCTTCCTTCCATAGCGTCTACATAGCATGTCCTTACGTAACTTTTCTAAGGGATTAGAAGTAATGGTTTGGTTTGGTTTTCTTTGAATGGTGTAGAAGAGTGAACATGTGACTGACTTATTTCAGTTCAGTTGTAACCATGAACTTATCATGTACCCTAGGCAGATCTCCAAACTCATCATTGTATTGTTTTTGTGGACTGAAAAATAAAGGTGGCAATAGGTTCTGCTTATAGCCCTGGTAGGGATGTTGGGGAGTGAAAATACAGCAACTTCTTGATCATTGATGCTAATGGGAAAAACACAGTGGTCTAACCCATAGAGAATCCAAGTCTGTTGTATTTCACTTTGGAAAGGGGTTTAACATGTAAACATTCAAAGATGTGATTCAGACATAAACACCCCACTCCATGGTGAAAGAACTTTTTTCAGTATATTCCTCCTGATTCAACTTCCAGCCAGGGAGGCTGAGACTCACGTGCAGAACACATGGAGTGGACTGCATGAGCTGATACATTTTAGTTTTCCAGGCTCTTATTCCTGCCATCAGTTGGTCCTCCATGCCACACATAGAAATGGATGAATTAAACACCTAGGTGGATTAGATGTAGTGTGTGAATGTTCTGTGTAAAAGCCAATAGAGTATAACAAGTGACTTAAATGATTTTCTTTTCCTAACTTGTTTCAACTGATAGCTCATATTGAATGTTTTATGTAAACTTTGTATTGTTGGGAAGAATTACCCAATCAGAGATTTATATTTTCATAAGTGTTACATTTTAGTTAAATTTTGTTACAGAGTTGTTACACTAGAAAATTGTTTCAGTCTTCAACAATATACAGCCTTGTGTATGTATTGTTTGTATGAATAAAAGATAAACCATTTCGATTTGTGTGCTGTTGGTTTTTTCTCACCCATCTTTGTCAGAACTAGTTAGAGACCTTGAGTAACAGTATTTATTCATGTTTGCTGCGTGCATGTAAAAACTGCACCAGACGCTATTCTCAGAGATTTGCAGTTATGAAGGTAGGAATTGTCAGCATTCTGTATTTGCCATTGGCAAGGAAACAGAGAGCCAGGGCAAAGAGCTTAATAAGATTTTGTTGTGGAATCCTCAGTGCCACCCACCATTAAAGAAATTTACAAGCAAGTAGGGGAACCAAGAAGCATATTCAGACACTGCTAAGAGAAGTAGCAGGTATCTGAGCACAGGGAAGTGCTGCTGCCCAAATATGAGGGTTGGGGAAGGTTTCCTTAATGCAGAGCAAGGCAAAAGCATAGCAAAAGTGTGTCCTCTGTGTGTAGGGTGGGCAAGTTCAAGAAGTAGTGTTGCTCTGGATGTCCCAAGACTTCAAGCTTTTATCGGGGTCTTTGGAGATGGGGTAATCCGTCCTGGAAAGCTGGATTATGTCTCATCAACTCCTCCCAGTAAAGTTGAGCAGGGTAGGGGGGTGCCTTGGATGGTCAGACTGGAGCTCAGCAAGACCCTGCTGTGTGTCACAAGCAATTCTGCTACATTCTCAGCCATCAGGTTTCCTGACTCCCTGCCTGACCCCTATAGATTTCATGGCACCATCGATGTCTTTTTAACTTTTTTGAAGCACAAAAATAGAATTCAGTGCCAAGTAGGCACTTAACAACCATGACCTCTAAGATCTTGTCTAACTTGGAGAGGAGGAGCATGCTGGTCTCTTTAATCACTGGATTACTCCAGAGGCACCTGCACATCCATGTTTACTGCGGCACTATTCACAAGCCAAGTTATGGAAAGCCAGTTAGATGGAAACCAGCCAAGATGCCCCACCACTGATGAATGGATTAAGAAAATGTGGTATCTATACACAATGGAATTTTATGCTAGCCATGAAGAAGAACGAAATGTTATCATTCGCTGGTAAATGGATGAAATTGGAGAACATCATTCTGAGTGAGGTTAGCTGACCCAAAAGACCAAAAATCGTATGTTCTCCCTCATATGTGGACATTAGATCAAGGGCAAACACAACAAGGGGATTGGACTTGAGCACATGACAAAAAGCGAGAGCACACAAGGAAGGGGTGAGGATAGGTAAGACACCTAAAAAACTAGCTAGCATTTGTTGCCCTTAACACAGAGAAACTAAAGCAGATACCTTAAAGCAACTGAGGCCAATAGGAAAAGGGGAACAGGTACTAGAGAAAAGGTTAGATCAAAAAGAATTAACCTAGAAGGTAAACCCACGCACAGGAAATCAATGTGAGTCAATGCCCTGTATAGCTATCCTTATCTCAACCAGCAAAACCCCTTGTTCCTTCCTATTATTGTTTATACTCTCTCTACAACAAAATTAGAAATAAGGGCAAAATCGTTTCTGCTGGGTATTGGGGGGGCAGAGGGAGGGGGTGGAGTGGGTGGTAAGGGAGGGGGTGGGGCAGGGGGAGAAATGAACCAAGCCTTGTATGCACATATGAATAATAAAAGAAAAAAACGAAAAAAAAAAAAAGATCACTGGAAGTTGCTTCAAATGATCAAGTTTTTCAGGTAGACAGGAATAGTTGCTGAATCCATTCAGCAAATGTTTTCCGGTCATGCATTTTACGAGGAACACAAAGGTCAATAAAATATCCCCGAATAAGGCTGACAGAGTGGCCCAAGTGGTAGAGCGCCTGCCTATCAAGTACAAAGCCTGAGTTCAAAGTCCAGTACCAAAATAAAAATCACCCCCTAAAATAACTCATGCATTCTAGAAGGTTATCTAGCCTTGAAAGAAAACAGGAAACACGCTCCCTGTGTGCAAGTGCAAAAACAGTGACTTTTGTTCTGTGCTGAGGACCAAGATGGGGAGAGAGAATGACCAAGGAGAGATCCCACTCATAAGTCCCCTCCAGGTGACAAAGCAGGACCAAGGTAAACCTTCTCAGATGCCCTACCACCACCACCATTTTTAATCTCTTGGGTCTGAGGATTGTCATATACACACTAACTTATAAAGAAAAAACAGGGCAGCAGTGGAGAGCTTGAGTGATAATAAGTAGACAATAATCAGATGAAACCTTATATCTAATTGTCAGGAAACAATCATTCCCAAGGAAACTTTTAAAAACCAAAGATTAAAAGTGGGGGTGTCAGAGATAGGAGGATCATAGTTCAAGGCTAACCCAGGCAAAAGTTAGCAAGACCCTATCTCAAAAACAAGTTGGGCGGGGTTTGTACACCTGTAATCACAGCCAAGGTCGGAGGATCTTGGTTCCAAGCCAATCTGGGAAAAATAAACTAAAAAAGCAAAAGTACTGGAGGGTAGCTGAAACTCAAGGCTCTGAGTTCAAATCCCCAATACTGCCAAAGTTGAAAAACATCAAATTAGCATTGCCTCATCTATAGACGACTGAAACCAGCTCTGCTTAAAGTTTACCCCCACTGAAAACTATTTTATTGCCTACAACAGGGAAATCCTTCTTAGATTCCAATCTATGTCTTTCAGTTGAAGGCTAAACCCTCTTCTCATAGTTCTGAGAGAAAATTTTGGAGTCGATTATCAATATTTGCAGAAAGTCATTTCATACACATGAAGTTTGCCATTTAAATATTTCTTGTACTAGAGTGAGGAATGCTACAAGCATTGCAGATTCACTATGTCCAAGGTGTTATGCTCTAGGATGATTTGAAAAGTAGTCCTGCATGACTCCTTCTATCCAGAATCCTACAAAGAGACACAACTAAACCAGATACAAGACAAGTTTTTTTTTTTTTAAGTTAGTAAAAGTAAAAGCCAGGTGCTGACAACACATGGCAGAGGAAAGATTA